TACACACAGTCACTCACACTATTTTTTTTTTTAAATAATCACTTACTATATACTAATTTTACATGACTCACAAGCATGCACAAAGAAAATTGTTAATATTTAATTATTAACCAATATGAAATTTTTTTCAATTATACAAGTTTAAATTATTTTAAAATTTATTTTATTATAATTTATTTAGTTCATTTTAAATTTAAATGAAATGTAAAAAAAACATTAATAATCTGAATTTATATTATTTGATTGTAAATTATGTAAACATATTAACTTCCATGGCACATTTGAACATCTCAACTGGTTTATATTATATTTACCCTCCTACTCAATACTATGGTCTCAAATGGTAAACGAATTAGAAAATAAAAATAACCAATCTCATTACAATATTCGATGGAACGAAATGTAATTTTAAGTATCTATGTTTGTTTCATAGTAATACCGGGTTGGTTATTGATTTATATATAACAAAATGATATATTTGATTTAGATAATGCAATGATTTGCATTACCTAAATGTTTTACTTATACTTACAGTTATGTTATGAGCTGTAATCTGTCCTATGACGGTTCCTGGTCTAATTACTCTATCACTCGCTATCCAAAAAACTTTGTTAACCATTGGATTAGAACAAAATTCAGCTGATAATCTAGTATCATTTCCTTCATGTGCAACAATAGTTCTGTTTTCAGTATATATCACTGGACCACCTGGAAATTAATAACTTGTGTTAATCGTGTATACTTTAGAGTAGGGATCGACAATCATATTTAGAGGAATATTGGTAGATGTTGTCAAAAATTATTTGTAATCAGGGGATGGACTGGGGAAACTATTCATCTCAAGAAATCTATATTTGACCAGCTCTTTCCATTTCACCATCACATAATTTAAAATCTTAAATATAAGTAGGTTAATAATGAAAGAAGAACATTATTATTTAATTTATTATTATGCTGCATGTAATAGTATAAATATAATAGGTACCTAAACAAATAGATTACCAGACACCAGAAAAGGTTGGTGATCCTTGCTTTAGAGTAGGAAATAGCCAATATGACAACAGTTATTCAATTAAAAACATATTTTTATAGACAACTTATTACTTATTATTTATTCTAAATAATTTCATCCATGAATAAWAACAAATACTGACCGACAACATTTAAATGAAGTGTATACACCCTGAGTTTTTCTAGATTTTCATTTTTACTGCCGACAATACATTTATATTCACCAGCCTCTTGATATAATACTTGATCTATATGAAGATTACTGCTTGGCCCTATTGGCTGTAGGTCATTATCATTGCCAGTTTTAGCCCAACAGGGTATTGCAGCACTAGGTCCCGATGGACATTCCAATTGAACTTCACCACCGACTGTGACCTCGACAGATTCAGAGGATCCAGAATTGTCTTCTTCGATGAACTCTTTGCGAACTGTATCGAGATCATTTAAATTGTCTAAAATATAACAAAATTCAAGTAATTAGATTTTAAAGTTAAAAATATAATTATAATGCATAACTCACATCTAACATTTAAAAAATAACCAATTGAAGAATACTCGGATAACAAATGTCTGCTTGTACATTTATACCAGCCACTATGATTTCTTCGTATTGACGTAAAGTTTAAAAAACCATCATCGGTTTGGAGAACAGGTGGTGCACCATCATCTAATACAAACATAGTTAAAATTAGATAATTTGAATTTTAAAAATTGTAATCGACGTACCTTTTTGCCAGACAGGAGATGATGGTGGATTTGAATCAACATCGCATTTAAGAGATACTGGAATACTTTCTTTAATAGGAATTCCAAATCCAGGAATTCTACTGATTCCAAAAGAGGGAGTATCTATTAATACGAAAGTCAATTTAAAAAAAAATTTGAACTCAAAAATATAATAATACCTTCATTTTTATCAGAAGTAACGTTACTATTTATAATTACATACAAAATATAATATTTAAGGTCTAATAAAACATTTTAAAGATACATTTACACTCCYCGCAGTGACGTAATTAGTACTTGGATACAGAGGATAGAATTATTTGTACATATTATTATTTAACTTGAATTAATGTTTTGCTTTGCTCGTAATAAGATCCTGTTAAATTTTTACATGGTGACATTGTGTCAATTAAAAAAGTTGAATATAGTATTACATTGTATACTCTTATAAAACGTTAATAATACAATGTTCTGACGAGAAAAAAATGTAATAAAAGTTTTACTCTACGTAGCTTCGGTATCACATAATAATTCAAAATTACGTACAGCCACTAAAAATAATTTCTAGGAGTCTTGATTACTCGTATTTTATATTATATATTAATTACGACACAGCAACCAGTATTTTGTATATTCTTATTAATTGAATTTAAAAGCTTAACTTACATTGAACATCAAGAAGAATAGTAGTGTTCAAGGGGTTTACAAGAGTAACATGTGTAACTATACACGCCACAGTAGCATTGTGATGAGCTCTAAGAACTCTCTGAATTTTAGCTGAACTACGACTTATGTCTTTTTCTTGATACGATTCATTAGATTGCAGTAATCCTGAAGACATGGCTTCATTTTCTAAGTTTGAATTACTTGGAAATAGTAACCAATGTAAGGATGGCATTGGATTTCCACCTTCAACCACACACTCTATACTTAAATCCATGTTTTCTTTGACGGGTACAAATAAATTTCCCGGGTCTAAACGGTGTCCATCAATTAATAAATAAGGTTCTTTTGGAATTTCTAGAACGAAAAAATAAATAATTATTTTAAACACTACAAGTATTATTTTTATTATTATATAAAAATAAAATACCTAAAACTACTAAATTTATTGCTCTAGCTAATTGTTTTTCGTTTACGCATTGCCATATCCCATTATCATCTAGCCTTATATTATTTATAACTAAAACTCCTGTGTTATGGTT